CCACACAATGACACACACACACACACACACACACACACACACACACACACTTAACACCACAGGGATTGAGATGGGCAGGAGCCCTCCCATAATGCAACACACCCAAACACGTACACATAGAACGGCACATACTGTCAAATGCAGTAGATATAACCACGATAAATATTCACGTCATTGTCTATAGTGTGGCGAATCAGGGTTAGTATAGTTAACTAGAACCACAACCATATAAATATTACTTGAGATAAAACCTTATAAAATGAAAATATATATATAAAAACGTAAAAAAAAACCTGCTTTTTTTTGCCCAGAGCCAAATTGCTCAGGCAACATTTCTAGTTTTTATTTCGTTTAACTTGACATACTAAAGAGCTAAAGTTAAAACTTAAAATTAAATATTGAGAACTGTATACTTTTTTTTTTAAATGACACACAAAATAAAAACACAAAAAACTGCTAAAACTAATTTAATATTAAAAGAAAAAGGAAAATATGATAAATTTTTTTAATAAAAACTATAATAGGATCTCAAAGATACTAAAATAACACTGCCGTGAACAAACACAAAGAAAGTATTACTAGTGCATTTTTACTTCACAGAGTTCCCCTGCTTATTGGTTATTAAAAAATGAGTTACCTTGCAAAAACTCTGTTCTTGTTGCCTCTTTCCTTTCCGTACTGTACAGACTGCGCCTCTGTCCGCCCACTGCAAAAAAAGCCAGAACACAGTGTCACTGCCGGCTCTCAAAACTCCATTTGTGCAAGAATCAGAAGAGATAGCTGTACAACAGATGACAAAATGACTTACAGTCGTGACCAAAACTAAAGCAACACAACCAATACATTGCTAATAGGGGCAGGTGATATAGCTAAAATGTATATTTTTCAGCTTTTCCATTAAATTCACTATGATATTTTGATATGTATGCATCTGCAGTTTCAAAACGTTTTATGCAGGCAAAAAACTTAACTTACTGAACATACTTTACTTCACACTTACTTTACTAACTAACTTTACATACTTTACCCAACATACTTCACTTACTTAACATGCTTCACTAACATTACTAACTTTACTAACTAACTTTACACACTTTACTAGCTTTACATACTTTATTAGCTTTAGTTTACACACTTTGCTAACTAACTTTACCTAAATTACTATTACATACTTTACTAACTAACTTTCCTTGCTTTACTCTGAAAATCCATGCCTAATTTGGTGTTTCCAGGCAAAAATGAACACAAATTGCTTGTACATCTTGAATTCAATCGTTTTGTCAACTTATTTTTTTGCTAAACTTTTGAGTTTTGAACCAACTCATTGAATTAATTCAAATTCAAGGAGCAGATTTGCACATTCCCATACTTGCAAGTTGCAAAACAAGGAGAAAATAATTTGCCATTGGTTTTCCAGTATAAAATCTTCAGGGGGAACATCTAGTCCGTAAACTGGAGTTTCAAAATGCCATGGCCTGCTCCTATGTCCACTACATCCCAACAAACAACACAAGAGTTCGAACTCTTCTAACGTTCTCACCTGTAGCGAAACTTGGATCCGAGGGTGAAGTACTGCAGGAAGAGGTTTCTCTCCGGAGGAACGGGCCGCTCCAGTCTGAAGAACGTGTGATGCTCCACGCAGGCCTTCCATAAGTTCTTACAAGCTCTGTAGTTCATCATATTGAAACCCAATAAAGACTCTCTGTTCTCAGTCTGTGAAACAAAATAAGAAAATAAACAGAGAACAGACGGAAGACAAATGAGAAAACAAGTTTGGTGAGCTCAAAGTAGATTTGTGAATGATCCAGTTTAGTATGTAACAATTTCAGTTGTTACCAACCACAATAACATTTTGCAATTTGATTCTAATTTTGTTACTACAGCAAAAATATGAATTCAAATTTAAAAAGTTAAATATTAATTAATTAAATTGTAGTCTTCAATTATTTCTGATTTAAGTAAACCGCAGGAAATAATTAACATAATTAGATACAATAATCAAGTAAAGACAGATTAAATGAAAAACAACACATATGTAATTTCGTACATACCAGTTCTTTTCTTAGTTGTATAAAAAACTGTTTAGATTTAAAAGATATTTTTACAATTTTCAACCTGAAACACAAAAAAGAGAGGGAAGATCAAACAAATGTAAATTTGCATCCACAAGATTTCAGTTGTGTTTATGTCAATGAAATTCCCCATTTCAATCAGATCTAAAGAGAACAGAATTGGTTTTATTATCATTGTTATTATTATTATTAGTATTGTTGTTTGTTTTATGACCCTTATGTACAGCACTTTGGTCAACTACTGTTGTTTTTAAATGTGCTTTAGAAATAAATTAAACTTGAAAATAGAATTCACAGCTAAAATGACACTCACCATGGAAAGTGGTTGACTCGTACCCTGTCCTTATAGACGGAGATGCCGGCAGACAAAACTCCGATGTAAATCTCTGTGTTACAGTGGTCCTGAAATCATCAAGAGTTGGAAACCATAAGGATTCAGTTTCCACGGCAACATCAAAATCATTTTGTTTCAAAGGGCACTTTTGGTATACTTTTGGTATAAGAAGGGATGCTTATACTGGCAACCATTTTGATATCAGCCAATAATGTTAGAGAGATTGAACAGTTAAAACAAACAACAGATCAAAAGAATGACAAAACAATATACTGGTTGAACAAATGATACCTAGAACAACATAATAGTGATGCTAGAAAATACTGCTACTGCTTTCTAATTCAAATTTTCACATTTAACAAATTTTCCATTCAACAAATAGGAGTAGAAACAATAAAAAATTGATATAGAAACTGCCTTATGTGCAATTTAAATGTTTATAAACAACTCTGATTTTGTTTGAATTTTGATTAACAGACAAATTTGATTAATTACTTGATTATTAAATAAACTTTATTTTCAGTTTCGGTTTTCAGCTAAATTAAAACTTATTGGTGTTTTGGTAAATTAATTTCGGTGCATCACTACAATATATAGAATGACCAAACAAATTGATTTATTATATCACAAAAAACAAATAATTTAATTATTAAACTAAAACACACAAAAAAAACACTAAAACACGTCATAAACAAAACACTACAAAAAAAAACCCATTAAAAAGGAAAAAAAAAATAACACACAAAAAAACTAATAAAACACAAAAAACAAACAAAACACTAAAAAACAAACAGAACAAAAATCAGCAAAAAAAAACAAAAAAACATTACAAATAAAACAAAGCACTACAAACAAAAAAAAAACACACAAAAAAAGCTAAAAATAAATAAATAAATAAAACAAAAAACACAAACAAAGCAAAACATGAAAAAAAACAAGGGTGCATCCCTAGGTTTAAGTTCCTTCACCCTTTCAAAGAGCCAGGCTTCCAGTTTCCTCTTGATCTAAGAGAGCAGACTGACTCATTATGTCTACTGGAAACTCAACACAAATCAAAATGAACACCGTTAACTTTCTTAAAATAGTTTGAAAGTTATTCCCAAACTTTTTTTCCAGAATTACAGTTTTGATGATACTGATAAGTTGATAATTTATATAAAAAATATTTCATGTTGTGGAATAAACTTAATAAAATTAACAATAATTAATATATTAATATAATATTAATTATATATTAATAAAAAAATTAACATTTCACATCACACTATAATTTGAAGCATTAAACAATTTTATAGAAAAAAAATTAATGTACCTGTGACTTTTTTATTTTAAAAAAAGGAAAATATTTAGATAACTGACATGCAACTTTATATTTAGTGTTTTATCTCATTTTTCTAAAATAAAAAAAAACTTACCATTAACATTAACTTAACATTTATCTTAACATTATAATTTGAAGCATCAAACAAATTTCTCAAAAAATAAAATAAATGTACTTGCATCTTTTAGTTTTTTCATTTGAGAAAATTGTAGAAAATTGTTTAATGCTACAAATTATAATGTTGAGATGAATCGACTTGACACTTTATTTTTATTGTTTCATTTCAATATTATAATTTGAAGCATTAATTTTGTACAATTTTCAAAAAAAAACAAAAAACACTGACAACAAAGTCACAAGTAGTGTAATCTGAAGAATTAAACAATTTTGTACATTTTTCTCAAAAAACAAACAAACAAAAAAAAACACAAAAGCAAAAAGTCAGAGAACATTTATCTAAACATTATACTGTAAATTGAAGCATTAAACAATTTTGTCAGTTTTTCTCCAAAACATTTAATCACTAAAAATTAAGTGGCAAGTATATTTATCTTAAAATTATAATTTGAAGCATTAAATAATTTAGTAAAATTTTCAAAAAACAAAACAAAATTTTTTTATTAAATGTAAACCGTAAGTACATTTATCTCAACATTATAATTTGAAGAATTAAATTAAATAATTTAGAATTAAATAATTATGTCAGATATTCATTTAAAGGTGGTTTAAGCGATTTCTGGTAGCCAATGTTGACATTTCAAATCACCAAAACAAACACGCCCCTACCCCAAAAGGGTCTTGCCCCTATTTTGATAGCTCCGCCCCACACATACATACGCAACCCAGGCAACGATTAGTTCTGTGAAACAAAGCAAAACCAATGCTACACCGTGTCTACACCGGACGCGAGTGGCGCTCATTATAACTCATTATAATCAGTGATGCTGTCTACACCATAGATATAGGCGTTTTTGAAAAATCGCTTACCCCACCTTTAAACATTAAAATTAACTGTTATTATTAGTATTGTTACATTATTAACTTAAGTCATCACTAAATAGGTAATCTATATGAAAACTAGGCAGAAATGAGTGTGCACAACAAAACCTCAAATAACGCATTATATTTACGCGTTATATTGTATTTACCTTTAAAAAAATTTAAATAAAACGATACAATAACAAAAACCTAATAAAAACAAGAAACTTATGCGATTAGTTATATAATCAAATGTGAAGCTACCAGTAAAGCACACCAGCTGTGGTGAGTGTAACATGACCGGTTACCACAACAGATTGTTAAATATGTAATAAATCTACACTAGACACATTATTCAGCCTTATTACTGGAAATGGATCAGACAGGGACAGGAAAGAGACTAAAGGCAGATCATGAACTATTTGGCAAAGCGTACATTCTTTGTTCATCCTGTGCGGACGGTTATATCACCAGCCAAACAAACATACAGGTCAGAGAGTTTGCAATCAGTTCCTCAAAATCGGCTTCATTCAAACTGACGTGTAAACCATCATGAATGGAAAGTAAGTACTATGATAATGCATTACAGCTTTAACATTTAAAAAAAAAAACGCCTGATTAACAGAAGACCTCATTACAGATTCCTCATATTTATTTGCTATTATTATGCTTTATAGATATTGGCACTGAAAAACCCATAGGACCACTAATTGTTAGTGCATAAATAACCTGTAATACTTTACCCTGAACAGCATAAGAAGCCAGAAGAACTGCAGTATTTTGTGGGCAAGGGAGTCTAGAAGAGAAACAGAAATTAAAGTGTTATATAAAAATGGCTTTTGGAGGAAAAATAAACACTTTTTCATGTATAATGTATAAGCTCACCTGCCACTCAGAATATCCTGCTTCAGTTGCAAAAAGTACAAATACCTGCAACAAATAAATGTCACAAAAAAAGATAGTTAAATCTGTAATAAGCATCCAGACTGAGAAAATGTGTTATTTTTACTATTTACACAGATATAAGTTAAGTTAAATGATTATATGAATTTATATTATTATGTTATATGAATTTTACATGTCATGTGCAGTACTGGGTAGTAACTGATTATATGTAATCTGGATTATATAATCAGATTTAAAAAATGTAGCACTTGTAATTATGTTCCGTTTTAAAATGATCATAATTAGATTACAGTTACTTTTTATGGATTACATGATTAAAAGCATTCACACAATGCATAAGAGCCATGTAAATTAATTTGCAATCCATGCATCTGAATTTGGGGACAAAAGCACTGCTCAGTCAATTATACCATGTATGAGATGAATTACACAAGTTACAAGACTACTATTTGTAAGTAATCTACCCAGCACAGCATACATGTGTAGAAATGTTTTTTTTTTAAAACCTAAACTGTACCTTGTGTACTCTTCCTGTAGTTTACTAGGGTCACTCACGAAAAACTTCACTCTATATCTCAGATTATGTGGAGACAGCCCTAAAAATAAAAAAATATTTACAATCAGAACATTTTATTCTTACACTTCAGATAGAAAAAAAACATTAAAATGTATAAAAAAAAAATAATAAAAAAAAAGACTTACTTTTGAGCTGCTTTCTAATAGGTTTGTTTGGATCCAGCCACCTCTGAAACAGACACGGTCATAACCTAAATTTAGGACACTTTTTACTCAACATTTTCACGATGAACACAGAAACTGCTAAAAATACCAGCTCAGCATTGTGAAAGACACCAAAACTGCTTGTCAATTCAAAACTGAACAACATCAAATGCAATGAATTAAACATTCAACTTGTTTTTATACAAGCAGGAACAGACATCAGCGTTTCAATATGTGACCTGAGAATGAACTTTCCTGTTTGTTACAGACACGGTGTGTGTAGAAACCAAAATAACTGCCAGACTGCTTCAGATTTGCTATAAATAATAAACAAGGTTCATGGGATAATATTTTTACAACTTCTTATCGCTCTTATGCAAAAAAAAAAAAAAAAATTTCAGGTTAACATGTTGTGCTGCTTGAATGAGCAAGGGTTTATGGGTGATCTGTTGCTGACGGTGACAGCAGAGTGACAGGTGAGCGTCTACCTGGCTGTCAGAAGAGTCGTCTGCTAGTTGAAGGCCAAAGTAGTCTCGCTCTGTTAGTTCCAAGTGTTTATACACTATGTCCAACAAGATCCGCCCCTGATCTTGCTTCTACAAGAGACAGAAAGGGTTTGAAACCAGTTCTGGACTGTTATATAAAAACAAAAGAAAACATACTTAAAAGCAAAAAAAAAAAAAAGAAAATATGTTAAAACATAAAAAGAAAACATAAAAGACAAAACACAAACCAAAAGCAAAAGCAAAACACAAAACAAAATACAAACTAATCAAAACCCAAAACTAAACCTAAAATAAAAACCCAAAGCAAACCAGAACAAAACAAACCAAAGCAAATAAAACCAAAATAATCCAAACAAAACCCAAACCAAAAAAAAACAAAAACAAAAACAAAACAAAACAAACCAAACAGAACAACCAAAAGCCAAAATCAAAGCAGAACAAACCAAAACAAAGAACAAAACAAAACCCAAACTCAACCAGAACAAACCAAATCCAACCCAAACCAGAACAAACCAAACCAAAAACCAACAAACCAAACCCAACACAACCAAAACAAAACATACCAAACCAAAAACAAGAAAAGAAAAGAGAAAAGAAAATTAAGTAATGTCTTGTTTGATAATACAATGAATTCAATGATTTACATCTTTATTTCGGACATGGCAACCATGTTTAAGTACCATAGTAATAACATGTTGTTGTTTTATTAAGAATTCTGATAAAAATATAGTATTTCCACAAAAACCACAGGAGATTTTTTAAATTGCATGTTTTTGTGTGCAAATACTGTATGAACAAATGAAAACTTTAGATTCTAATTTGAGGCAGTTTTAATAGACAAACGTTTCCAAGCTAGCTTAACCTTCAGCCCAGACGATCTGTGTAGCATGTATGATCACGACAGCCATGGCCTCAGGACACACTTCTGTCCAACCCAGGAATGTGAAGCATCTGCCTGAAACAGCCACTGTGAGCTGCACGAGGAAAACCAACCCCAGCCGCCACATCGCGTAACTCCAGCTAGCCTCTATTGTACCTCACAGACGGTTGGTCTCCTGTGGTGATTCTTACCGACCTGCCATTTAGCAGACATTTTTCATCTGAGCCGATTTATTCCACACTAACAGCAGTGCTGCAGCTCAGGAGTGAAACGCTGATACAGCAAAAGTGAGACATCAGTTACTTTGCGGTTTGTGGGTCACCTCTACCTGGGATTGAACTCGCAACCTCTAGAAGATCATTATCCACCCAACTCTAAAACGTGTACTCACTGTTTCTGAAAGAACAGTTCAGTCAGAAACAAAAGTCCTGTCAGCATTTATACACTTTTATGTTGTTTTATGTTATCTTCTGTGGAACACAAATTAAGATACTTTGATAAATGTTCAAGCTGCTCTTTAATCTCAGTAGGAAAAACAACATAAACGTGGGCATTTTTGGAGCTTGACACCCATTATGGTAATATGGGAAAGAGCAGCCGAGACATTCAGCAAAATATCTACATTTGTGTTCCACCGAAGAAAGAAAACCATACAATCTAGGAATAGCATGTAAATGAATTTATTATTATTTTTTTTCATTTTTGATTGCTTACTGTGTTTTAAACTACCCTTTTGAGGGAGAAACAACGTACCTCAAGGAGATTTTATGTGGAACTCTTGAAGTTCTCAAAAATGTTCGATGCTTTGATAGGAGGAGCCTGATTCGGCTACCAATCTCACAGTCGAATATTCGCTGAGGTGTTATGATCATGCCATTTTGGCTATATGGGGGTGCTCAAATGTCTGATTTTACATAGAACTACCGGTTTTCTCCCAGAGTTAATATACAGCCTATTAAGATAATGCTGTAAATAAGAATCTGAAAAGAAAGAAGCTTTAAATAAATATTTTAACGTGCGTGAATAAATCCAACCACCCCTATAGATTTAAGTTTCACTTTTCATAATCCGTGACCGACAGAGGAGCATTTTGGCGCAAGGATTTAAAACTTTAACAAGACTCAAATTGACACAGGCAGAGTGAAAGACTGGATTTTTTCGATCAGGTAGGGTACAACAAGTGATTTCAAAACATTTCAGCCTGTTTATATATATTGTGTATATATTATTTATCTCGTATAAGATGCATTTGGTTCTCTCTCTCTCTCTCTCATTCAGCTCTCAATTATACACGTATTTTCACATAGCTATGAGAAGCGTTAAACATGGACACGCGTGCAGTTGCCGTACTGTATTAAAGCCGTTTATCAGAGAAGGGACAGAGCGGTGTGGAATAAAAGTAAATTATGTGAAAACTAATGCGTTTTTTTTAAACTAAGCATTAACACATGTTAGACTGCACCCCATAAACACAATCAAGCTTAGAAAAAAAACATTCAACCACCCCTTTAATAACTATAACTGGGACTGTCATATACATAACATTATAATGAGAACACTATTACAATAAAACGCTGTGAATTTTTAGAGTTTAGTTGCTGTGTTTCTACACGTTGTTGCGTAAAGAACACGTCCACAATAGGAGTTAATTCAGAGCCGCGCAGACACGTTCATGCATTCGGGGCATTTTGTGCAGATAGCCTATAAGTCGTAATATTAATGTTTTGTTGTATAAAAAAACTAAGCGTATTCTATATAAGATAATTGATGAGTTAAATCCCATTGATTAAAAACCTGCTATCAAATACTTCATTCTACTGGTCATCTTCAGCGCACGCAGCTCAAAACAGAAATGCAGATTAACTACTGTCATATACCGAACGTTATAATGAGAGCACTGTTATAAAAAAATGCTAAATAAAAACAACTGCAATCTTATTAAGTTAGTATTGAAGTACTGTTGAATTAAAGCAGATTTTTGCATTTTCTGAAGTGAATGTGAGTGGTGTTGGCCTGCTGCCAGGATCCCAGAGCGTTCTGAGTGGTTGCCAGGGTGTTGCTATGCAGCCACTAAGGCATTCTGATTGGTTTTTAGCATCTTGCTGGAAGGGTTCTGAGTGGTTGTTAAATGGGCAGATGGTTTCTAATTGGCCCAAATCCAAACAAATTCACCCTGTGACCTTCAGTGTAAGTTTATGAGATGTTTTTTTGCCTGTTTTGTTATCCACCAGATGAAAATCTAAGCTCTGATCACTTACAAAACACTCATTCCTCATGATTTTCAAATATGTCACACAAACAATACTGGAGTGTAATACTAAACAAAAATATGCAATAAAATTTGGCCTTCTTTAGGAAAACAACTAGACCTGAGGGTTGATTAGCTTTCTTAAAGGAATAGTTCACCAAAAAGTGAAAATTTACCCACCTTCGGACCATCCAAGGTGTAGATGAGTTTGTTTATTCATGAGAAAAAGATTTGGAGAAATTTAGCATCACATTAGCATTACAATGGATCCTCTGCAGTGAATGGGTGCCGATGATAAAAACATCCAAATAATCCACAAGTAATCCACACAACTCCAGTCCATCAATGAACATCTTATGAAGCAAAAAGTTGCATGTTTGTAAGAAACAAATCCATCATTGAGACGTTTTTAACTTCAAACAGTTGCTTCTGACTCAAATGACTCCATAATCCATAATATTGCTTTCTCCAGTGAACATGTCCATCCTCTTTTGTCCTCTCACATCAAAATTCACTGACATATTTGTTTAGAACTGTTTTGGACCGTTTTCACTTGTAAACGGTACTTGATTTGTGAGTACTTGATTGTTCAGACAAGAGAACGTTTTCACTGGAGGAAGCAATATTATGGATAATGGAATTTACTGTATAACGCAGAATGTCACGAAATTTGCCAAATTTTGGATGAATAAATCAAAAGTAGATCAGTACACTTAAATCAAAATGCAATATGGACTAGTGTCTGTGTCAAAATTAACTTGAAGAAACTGTGACAGAAATATTTTACTGAATGTAATGATAGTACTCATACTAATAATACAATTATTACAACATTATTTTCGAAGCATATTTACCAGAAAAAGTATTTACCAGAAAAATGTAAACACAGTATTTCTGATAAAAAGAAATAAACAAAATAATAATAAAGTAGTTTATTTTTTATAAAATCAATTATTTACAGATGCTTTCGATTATTAAAAATATATAATGAAACCATTAAAATGGAATCCCAAAAATTTATAGAAAACAGAATTTGGTAAAAAAATAAAACTGAAATTCAGAAAAAAAATAAAACTTATTTCATAGGGCCTTGAAAATTTAATTTTTATTAAACTTTTAATAAATTGCTGTTAAATTGTGTAAGTTTCATGATTTAAATTAATTAGACATGCTTTCTGATTAATACCATTAAAACAGAGTATAGAAAATTAAATTGGAAAAAACAGAATTTGGAAAAAAATAAAATAAAATTTGGGAAAAAATAAAACGGATTTCATAGGGCCCTACATTTTAGCAGGAAACAATGGTGTGAAGCTAAAAACTTCTAATGATGGAGCTGTTTATCCCAAACAGGCAGTTTTTCACTTCTCAAGACATTAACTGATGGACTGGAGTGGTGTGGATTACTTGTGAATTATTGTGATGTTTTATCAGCTGTTTGGACTCTCATTCTGACGGCACCCATTCACTGCAGAGGATCCATTGGTGAGCAAGTGATTTAGAAACAAACTCATCTACATGGAACTCATCTACTATTCATTTAAAGAGGTTCAACACACATGAATGACCGTGTGTATACTCACATTGACTCTGAAGGTCTGTACTGTGTTGTCCAGCAGTAAAACGTTACACTCCACCTGCGCGTGCTGTCTCTCTCTGGCCTCCTCCAACACTCCCACATCGTAAGATCTGCCAGCAGGCAACCGGAAGCGTGCGGTCATTACGGTCCCCACTCCGTCTGCAAAACACACAGAGGCTAAAGGTCACCAACAGGGTCACCTGGCCAGCACTGCACCACGGTAAACGTTATTAAGCATTGTAAAACACACATACACACACTAGCCCATGTGATCCTATGGCAAACATCATTCACAAACATTTGTTTGTACTCCATCTAAAAGTTCCTGTAAAAAGCTATATAGCGAGCAGGGGAAATATGTTCAGTAGATTTTAGCTTTCAGGTTCTACTCGAAGAAACGAGAGAGTAAAAATCAAAACGCAGCACTTAGAAATTAGTCTGTCAATTGAACAAAACCCATAAAGGAAACAGAGTTCAGGGTTGGTGTCAAGATAATTCAGATTCATACAACTCACGACTCAAGGAAATTGCTTAATATATTTACTTTTTTTTCTGAGAGAAAAACTAATTCTGCTTCTAAAACTACTGACATTCATCCTGTAAAATTGAACTCTTTCATTCAAGGTTTTAGTGATACTAAACGCTCTTCTCAAAGCAAAAAAGGTATTTTTCGGCCAGCTCTCAGATTCCTCAAGACAATCAGCCCACTGAAGGGTCCCTCAAAAGACACCTTGTTGAAAACCCATTTATATTAGAAAAGATTGAGTAATTCCAATCAGACACACAAAGACGGAAGAATTTCTACAAATCAGAACACTATGAATCTTCCTTTGAACTCCTAGCAAAAAGAGATGTAGCATTGTACAGCCACAATCTCCCAAACCTCCCAAATGTAGTTTCGGACTGATTCTATCATCAGTGATAACAGAGACACAACAAAAATGCACTTTAACATGACAATTAACGATGCTGACGTATACATGACAAGCAAAAAAGAGAAAATACTGCAAAATATTATCTATGCTAACAATGTTGATGCTAATTATGAACACTGGTAAACAGAAGCGCTTTGCTTGCAGGTTCATTAACTCCAAACACATCTTATACATATATAATTAATCAGATAAATACACAACAAATGTCATATTATAATTTTCTTCTGCACATAATGTTGTGAACGCACAATTGAACTGAAGCTAAGTTACATGCTAGTCAGAATATGCTATGAAAGTCAAGCTATGAATGTGCACTTTCTGTAACAGTGCACTAAAAAACATGCAATAAGACAGAACATAAAAATAAACTATATATAATTTTTTCTTTTTTTTTTAAGTTTCAGTTTCCAGATTTCGGTCAAATGACGTGCTTCAACTGTGTCAGCATCTATGACCAAAAATGGATGAAGAGCATAAAGAGTTCAGTTACCTAGTAACCCAAATTTGACTTCCAGTTTTGGTTTTCAGCTGAAATTAAAACATAAATTTAGTTTTCTGTGTTTTGGTACAAAAATTATAATAATAATAATTTTGGCGAATCACTAAAAATTGACCAAAATGATTGAATATGACATGCCAAACTCCTGACTAAATCTAAAGGATATTATGGTCAAAAGACAAAAAGAAAGCCTAAAACTAAAAAACTGTGTAAAAATTTAAAGGAACACTCCACTATTTTTGAAAATAGGCTCATTTTCCAACTCCCCTAAAGTTAAACAGTTGAGTTTTACCATTTTCGAATCCATTCAGCCGATCTCCGGGTCTGTCGGTAGCACTTTTAGCTGCAGCTTAGCATAGATCATTGAATCTGATTAGACCGTTAGCATCTCGCTCAAAAAAGACCAAAGAGTTTCTATATTTTTCCTATTTAAAACGTGACTCTTCTGTAGTTACATCGTGTACTAAGACCGACGGAAAATGAAAAGTTGCGATTTTCTAGGCCGATATGGTTAGGAACTATGCAAACGGTAAAACTCAACTGTTTAACTCTAGGGGAGTTGGAAAATGAGCGTATTTTCAAAAATAGAGGAGTGTTCCTTTAACTCTGGATAAGACAATCAAGACACTTCAGCTTTATGCATTTCACTCTAGAGTCTAGACTAGAGAAACTCACAGTAGTATATCGGACGGCCCATTGTAAAATCTCAAGACTTTATAGCACCCATTCTAAAATGGTTTAGCTTTAGACAACCCACTCTGGACTCTTAAAGCAGGATATCTACAGCCAAAGACGCTAGATTGGTTGGCGCAGAATCAAAGACCTGACAGTAAGTCTCCTACTAGATCTAAAAACTCTAACGCTAGGGACTCACTGTAGGGTCTCAGCCTCGACACAACCCAATCTAGAGTCTTTGTTTCTTGTTATTCGATAGACCCTATTCAATCACACTGCATTCATATGTGTTGTAACCACAACCTGGGAGAAAACGACCATATCTGTCCACAGGTCAGCTCACGGCGAGCAGGTTATGAGCTTATGTGATGTCGTATACAAAGTCTCCTTCCAATAACACTGGCTTAACACATTCGCAACACGTTTACTGGTGCTAAGGTCAGGGAAGAGGGTGACTAGACTACCATTCACTAGTTGTACTAAGTACTTAAAGGGTACTCACCCTTGTTTAAACCTGGAACACAAAACGAGATGCTTAAAAAAGTTACTGTTTTTGGGGTGTTTGTTTTGTATTTACAATGAAAATCAATGGGGTCCAAACAAAAACCCACTGGACCCCACTGACTTCCATTGTAAGGACAGAAAACTAAACATTAAGACCTTTTTCAAAATATCTTCTTCCGTGTTTCACAGAAGAACAAATTCATACAGGGTTGGAAAGACATGTCATTTTTGGGGGTGAACTATAGTTTTTACAAACGAAGCAGACAAAAATGTATCTTTTTCTTTACAATTCACCAAGCTTTCTCTTCCACTTTGAAATGGCATTTGCATCATTTATCATTCACAGTTGCAGGCGTAGTTTATTTTTACATTTTTTTAGTGGTTTCTAAAAATGGACTCACACAAGTTTCTTTACACATGTTCATGCTATACGAAACAAGCTCCCATAACACTAAAATGCAGCTGCGTAAACAACATGGGGTCAGAGCTCGTGACCTGTAGGAACAAACATGCGACCTTTCTGAACGGTCACAGTTGCTTATTCAAACTCCCCCACCCAACTAATTACAACCATTAATCTACGACACAATCTACATGGAAAGGTGCTGTTAGTCAAAAGGAGCCATCAATAACAAATGCGTTTGAGCATACTTAAACTTTTGACATCCGTTTGACTAAATTTATATCAGTGTACCTTTACAAAGCAAGTCTTTCGAGACAAAAGCATCACTGTTTAGGATCTCTTCAACACTATCGTGATGATGAATAATGAAAAGATATGACGTAAAAAAGATTTTCAATCATAAGATCTCAAAAACACAAATCAGTCCTAAATATAACATTCACATCTGATACTTACATCAGCACAGCCTTATTTGTCCTGCGTATCTATGCAGAAAGGTCAATCTCTTTGTATAACTTGCTAAACTGTGATGTGTGTGTGCGAGAGAGAGTGTGTGTGGTGGAACATTTCTCTTCTGTAGAAGTTTCCCCCGGATGTCATCGAACACCACAAACACCGAAACACTTACAATTTTCCGTTGAGTGGGGTTCAGACCACCAACACCTCAGAAGATCTCAGACAGTGGGGTTACAAAATAAGTTTATCCTCCACCCCCCAAAAAACTTTTGGTCAGCCCCCTAAACCAATATTTCCATCTTTCTCTCTAAGATATAGAAGCCATTATAACCTATAAAGCATCATAAGCTACAGAGGTTCTCAAGTAGTGTTCTGATGAACATCAACAGAAAATCCTAATGCTGAATAATATTAATAATAATATATAAAATAACAAATTAATTAAAAACTAACTATGTAATTGTGCATAGTTAAGATTTCAAAATAAATTAATCATTTTAATTTATAATAAAAAACTATTCCCATATGTTGTGCTGTTGACGTCAAAAGCATGTGTTCAGTCACACTTTATGACATTTTACAACAAATTTACTTGGTAATATGGCCAATACTAAAGATGTATCCCCCTATTTATTCCATGCATTAGTCTGGTAAATCACATTTCTGTTGTCATTTATGCACTTACAAAACTGTCAATATTCCAATTCAGTCAAATTTTGTGTCTTATTGGACGTATGCAGTTCACTGTATTCTGAACACATTTCAATGCTCAGTTTTAACAGCCCTCTACACACACCTTGGCAATAAAATCGCCATTGGCTAGTAAATTGTTTAGTTTACTCGGCAGACTGATATACTATTTAATATTGTATATATAAAAGCTTATGTTTGTACAATGGCACAGCTTTTTAAATATCTGAAAGTACACTCTTAACATCAGTCAGTCAAGCATTATAATTATGATAATCAAGCATTATTTAATGATTGAACTTTAGTAATTAGAATTAAAACTTGGTAACCATGTATGAATGCATTTTTCTCATTTTAACTGAACTTAGGAACTTTTTAACTATGTTTTAACTTAACAAAATTCCACTACTAATAACAATATAAAAAGCACTAAGGATTAATGAGCTGCTGGGTTCACGAATATTAATGACGTTGTCTGCGTTCGCTCGAACTGATTTGCTGAAATTAAAACCGGGACGATAATAGGTGAGCGCCAGCCAATGAGATTGCCGTTTGCGCATTAGTTCCGCCCCCTAACGAAGAAACCGGCAGTATCTTATGGTTGTTCTTAAAAGCTGAAGAATTCCAAATGAACTCTGTTATTTTGACAGGAAAATAGAACAAAGAATATTGTTTACATGTAGCGTGTCAATTCTGCATGCTATGTAAGACTCTTTCGCTCTCTCTCTCTCTCTCTTTACATGTGTGAGAAACAGTGCTATCAGCAAAGCGACGGCGAGTCATGCGCCTTTACACTAGAGTTTACGGTACGTCAAATACAGGTACACTGCGCATCCATTGAGATGAATTGAAAAATAGCACAGATCGCTTGATGGAGAGTGAAACTCTGAAGCGCTCAGTCAGAGTGTTCGGCGACTGAAAATATACCTGTGCTAAACTTATACTTAGCCTCCAACTCACACACTGGCGAGTAAAATCTAAGAATTTATTAGCCAAT